TGTATACAACAAATCATTGATTAAATAGAAACATACATAATTTATTTGTTTCTCTAGCAACGGGGACACCTGTCACCGGAAAAATAATGGCCCACTGGACCAACATCCATTGTGATGCGGCATTTACCGTCTTTATTTCAATTTTTATATTCTTCCATCGTTCCATTCGCAAAGCACTGGGAAAGTTGGAGTTCCACCTAGTAAGCGAACATGCAGTAAATTGTCCGTACTGTGACACGAAGATATTCCGAGGACAGTATTATTGGGACCCTTTAAAGAGAACTCGACAACTCCTTAAAACTTTACGGGATGTGAATGGATTCGCTGATCAATTTGTTTTCACCTTCATCACGTCATCTATACTAATTTTGATTACGGCGGTGCACGTCTTGTTTGTCACACTGATAAGGTTAAGCAACGTTCCGCCCGGGGAGCTGCGGGGAGTCGTGGTTAAGCAAACGGCAGCAATGGTTGTCATAGTTTTATGTGTTATCCTGAAGATTGTCATACTCATAGAGGTTGGACAGGATATTCAAAACGCGGTAAGTTGTATAAGTTGGTAGGGATTGAAAGTTTTCTGAACAGGCGGTCGGAGGCAATTTACGTTCCGCAGGGATGATATCGCCGAAAATCCAATTGTTGCAAAGGAGTAGAGGAAAAGACAGGAACGTTCAACAATATATACTAAGATGTGAGGCTGACAGCTTATCTTCAAAAAAATTAATTATGTAGTAACTGAAAATTAAATTTGTGACCAATTTAAATTTACAACAATGGGAATGACTTATTCTATGAAATTTGTGCAAATGTAATTTTATCAGCAATTTAGTACCTATTAATCACTAATTAAAAGTTCATCCTGTTCAGAATTATGTAAGCCTTACATCTTTGTGCTACACGAAGTTTTAAATTTTACCTATACTTCTAGGGGGACCATTTTAAAACTACACTCTCTGAACTTGGAATCGTAGAGATGAGAAAGCATCATCCATCCTTCGGTCATTCGAATTGTCCATTTATTAAGGAATTAAGACAAGTAATATCCTTCCAAACTTTTGAAATTCGCCCTAGCAACTTCTTCTCGTTGGACTGAAAACTAATTACAACGGTAAGTTTGAAATCATTTATTGCGAGTTCAGTGTATTGATATGAATAAATTTTACTATAATTCAGACAATTAGTACAGTCGTATCGTTCGTGATCGTTTTTGCGCAATTGAGGGAATCAGAAAGAAATGCGTGATTATTGCTGACGGTTACAAAGCTGTTGAAGTTTGATGGAATACTTAATGCCGACACAAGTATTTATTTTATAAGTAGTTATATTATGTTGTAACCAACCTAATGGAACCTAATGATTCATTCCAAGTGTAATTTCATTCCGAGCTGTATACAGATAATCTTGTTTATGTCGACTTAACATAATTGCCATGTATAACTTTGGAAACTAACTATTTATTCATGTTATTTGCATTGTTGATTGTCCGAGGATAATGAGTGTCATCTTTACTGAAGAGTAATAAATTTAAATTTGGTGTTATTTCACTTCTTAGATTGCATAACCACATGTACGCATGTAGAGATAGATTTTTAAAGCCACCCTAGCTTAATTTATTGGAGCCTTATCTTTCGTCTGTGAATTTTGGTAATTGTTTAAATGTAAAGCCCTTTAGTTTGTCTACACCTAAGAGACTACGCCTCTGTATTATTAACTCGTGTGCACAGATACATACATACACATTATACAAGGTGGATTGACGCAGGCCGTGAAATTTTTACATTTCCTCTCCAAATATATACATAGACGTTGATACAAATACTTGAATAGGTCTGGAAGGCTAGAATTATTTTTAAATAGACTGAAATCAATTATTAAGGGGTGAAAGCCCTTTATAAGATCGTTATGTCCGTCTGTCTGTCTGTCTGTCCGTTGGTACGACAACTCTTGAACGGAACGACATAGAGACTTGAAATTTTGAACGTAAACTCCTAACGTCAAGGGACAGGACGAGTTCGAAGATGGACCCTGTGGGTCACACCCTTCAAGGTCAAAGGTCATAAAATGTCATTTTAAGGTCAATTTTACGGATAGCACACTTCTTTCACCCCTTGCTTACATGCGCTGTAACGGTTTATTTAGTTTTGTTTTATCTTACGCCCTGCGATAGACACTGGGCGGACAAGTGAAGTTTATTTCGGAGTGATTCTCTCTAAATATTTATACCCCCTTGAAGCTCGTCACATTTGAGGCGTAGTCAAAATGCCGTCCAGGTTTCTTGTGCTCACAGCAGGATATGTATGCAGAGCAAAACTTTGATTACCATCGCCCCATATTTACAACTATCTCGCCGTAAGTCAACATTGTCTTATCTATTTGACATGTTTGATTCAGTAGAAATGAGTATTTCTTCATTTATCTATGCATGCGTAGCGCTACCCTTTTCATGTTATTGAATTCGAGGAAAAAATTAATGACTGGGGGTATGAAAACACTCTTAGCAATTAAGATGTCAAACGAATTTTTTTCTCACACCACATACACCACAAAGTAACGAATCCTCGCTTACCCTCTTTTCATACTTATTTCAGATTAAGGGACGACTTTCTAATATGCGTTTATCAAAGTAGTCCATCTGTTTGATGTATGTACCCGTTTGGAAATTGGGGGTAAAATTAAATCCATTTATTTCAAAATTTGAAAACCAGTTTCCCAAATGTGAACAATTTGTGTATGGAGGTTTGCATACCTCGTAAATCTAACTCAAAAGTAGTACACGTGTTCTTATGACTCGGTTTTCCTTACTTGGTAAGGTTTATCGGCTAAATTTTTAGGAGTGCATCCAATTTATTACTGTTCTATATATGACAGGAATGAAATAGTTTGATACAGAGTTCAATTCTTATCATTGAAATGTTGTCACCTATCCTGCTCCCCTTTCTGAGACGTACATTTTCCAACGCCGACCGCTTTACCTGGTTATCATTAACTTTCGACACAGATAAGGAGGTCTTAACTGGAAGGTCCGCTACCTTGGACCATCTTTCCTTCCTGGCCTATCTGATCCATGTTGCTCTCCAGGCGTATGGAATCCTGTTGCACAACTCCCATTCCACTCACGTAACACAGATAATTTCTGCCATGTTCTGCCTACCATACGTCGTCACGATGGTTATCAGCCTGTACTGGGAGGCGGATCGAGGTGCCCCGGCTTTGTTGAATGTCATGACAAAATGTTCAGCGGATCCAGTACCGGCAAATGGTTAGGCTGACGATAGCAGATGAAGGAAAATAATTGCAAATTGAAGTATAGAATTTAATTTTTAGGAAGCAACCCTGCCCGCCGTACTGTTGGAAAAACGGTTCACCAACCATTCAAATTAGGTATCAGGGCTGCGCTAATTTCTATCAAGAAGAACATCACTGAGTATCATTCGAGCAAAAGTAAGATTTACAATGCGTTAATAACTTCAATCTTTAGTAATGATACTGGACATATAATATATAATCAATCTCGTCATTCCAAGATTCTTCAGGAAAGGAACGGATCATAGTCCGGACCATAACCCAGATCATGTTCCTCAACATGGAATTGGAACACTTCATATTCTCCCTCGTCATTGCGGCCCTTGTACTGTTCATCCCATGCCAGCAGCCCTTCCTGGGTTCAGTCCTGCTTCAACGGAATTCTTGCCAGTCTGCCGGTCCATTTATCCGCGTAACCCTGGCAGCCCTTGAATTTGCCGCGATGCACTACATGACCATGGGTTTGGGCGTGTTTGTCGCGTGTGTCTTATTCGGTGGAATGATCCACCTCTGGCTAGAATGTTCCTTGTTTTTTGAAGCCAGCAGCGTAAAGCTAACTCGAACATATAGATAACTCCAAGTGTACGAAAAAGTGCTCAATTCATGCATCCAGGATCGCATATTTCCCGTCGCCATGTCAATCAGTCCCATGCTTGAAATCCTTGGTGCGTTTGCCTGCATCCGCCTCAGAGAGGGGATGAACCCCCTGGTGTTTTCTTTCATCGGGGTGGAAACCCTGATGATCACGGCGTTTAAGTTGATCCTCTTTTCCGCTGCGGGCAAGATATATACGGGCAGCGCGCAATGGTTGCGGGATTCTAAGGCGGGGACAAGTATGCGGTTAAGTAGAAAAGTACTGGCTTCTTTGACACCGATGAAGGTAAGGATTGGTCAGAATTTTGTGGACGGATTTACTCCACTCGTTGTACAACAGTTTTGCACGGATCAGTTGGTTAACTTACTACTGCTGTTTTAGAAAAATTGTGATATTTATACTAGTGTGAGTTTTCTTTGTACGATGACTAATTTATTCGTTTCTTAAGTTTTTAAAAGCAGCAATTTGCAAAATTCATTATAATTACAGTTACCTTTTATTTACCAAATGTATACATATATACATTATTTTGTCAGGCCATGTTGTACACATAAATGATACACACATTAAATGATGATTAATGACACACACGGATCGTTCTAATTATAAATATTCGTACATGATTCTAAGATGTTAAGTATTTTTACCCAACTTAAGGAACATAATTTTTAGAGTTCAAAATGTAGGAGAAGGGATTCCAGAATTTGACTTATAAAACTGGTTCTCATTTCCCATCAGAGTATGGAAAAAATCAATGGGTTTTGTTTTGTTTTTGTTTATTTTTTTTGCTTTTCCATAATATTTTTATTTTTTTTCTCCCACAAACTCCGACTGATCTGGTAAGTGTGTGTATATATGTAAATACATATATGAATGTAGTATGGTACGAAAGGTCGGTTAATTTATCGACTGATTTACCTAGGTAGTATATGTAGTCATGCAGGCAAATTAATGGTAATTGGTAAACATGTACAAAACAGGTATTTGATTTATTATGAGAAAGTTAGTGATCGAATTATGTACCCAGATCTTCATGCATAATCTGTTGTTTAATATGTTGTAAATATTTTAAAAAAAACTGAATACATTAAAACCCTCACAATCTGGAATTTACTATTTGCACTTTATTCATCACCAAATCAGTTTACTAGTTTAAAGCGCAACTGAAACCAAATATCGTAAAAGTACATAAATCGCAACAATGCGACACGTTCGTGACTGGAACACAGGGTACCGTCCTTGGACTGCATGATTGCTGGAGAATAAATAAGTTGTCAATAAAAATATAAGTTTGAAACCAAATAAATCCCTACCTGGTCTTCCTTAACCTAACCTAACCAGCTCGTCAGCTTCAATAGACACGGATGCGGCGTTGATTAACATGACGAAATACACTGAGCAAATTATTGCTGCAAGAAATACCTGAATTTTTACCGACATTTTTTTACGACTTTTTGAAACGGTTAAAGAATGTAAATCAACTCAATCTGCTAACTTGGTCTTCCTGATGGTGCAAACCTTTATATTGGACCAGACTCAACCATGGGGCTACACCCATGCCATAATGTAAGATTAAAGTTCGCAATTACCAGTCTGATAAAGAATACACGGAAACGTAATTAAATCTGTTATAACTTCATTACACGTGTGTTGAGCGATTGTTTAATTCAAGTGTGGCGTGACATGTTGGAAATTTTATTATTTTACCCATCCCAGTTCCCAATTAGTAATATCAGATCGACGAACTTATAACTGATACGGTACAATTTGTTATCTGTAAATTTTAATTCAGATTTATGTACTTAACAAGGATTGTATACACTAAAATGTATGTACCCATTGAGCTCTACTCATGTTCAGAATATGTTTGATTTTTATGCAACTTAAGAGGAAGAAGTGCGCAAAAAATCCTAATTTCATAACTTAATTATGTAGTTTTATACATACATAAGTGTTCTATAAAAAATCGTTGACAATATGTACATATATTATAGAGTTAATTGATTAGATATTGATATTTATGCACCCAACTAAAATTTATTTCGGTTTATCTTATAAACTGACCAAAAAGTAATTCAAGACCAAATTTATCTCATAATGTACATAATCTTATACATATTATATACTGATACTGTCCATACATATTCTTATACATAATTATATTTACTTCGAAAGTACATATCCACAATTTCAATCAGATTTAGATACGATGAAAATGTACAATTTTAGAATTTTTAACTTTTCAGAAGTTTCTTCCTGTTCGATTTATGTGTAAGGGTTAGAGTCCGGGGAGCAGTTTTGCATACAATTTTGCTCAATCCGGCAATTCACGTTGATAGAAACTACAAAAAATAGTATTAAATACATACTACTTTTAGTTAAACAAATAAATGCACTCTTTTTAGCTTACCGTCACAACATGCCAGCATTGGGTAGCACATGGTATAGCAACCCGCATCCGATGGGCAGATGGGAAAATGCAACCGTTAAGTACGATCCAGTAAAATGTAGTTATCAGAGACATGTCGTGAATTATATCGCAAGTTGTGGAATATCTTCTTATTTGCGCAAAATATTTTTCAACAGTGGTCCAGTAGTGTCCGACGTGGACTGTATTTACATATATTCAACGAGGCAATAAAATGCAGACGTAGATTGAAATTTTTATTATATAATTTATTAAAGGGCGGATTACATACAAAATTCTCAGAATTATTTACACTTTAGTCTTCATTATAAATAAAATCATAAAGTACCATTACCTTTATAACAAATGTAATAAATTTTTTGTCCACTTTTCCAACATTCAATTCCCCGAAGTTCCAAATTTTTGGAATTACTCTACGGTGTTTTTGATCCACCATAAATGAGATGTATGTAATTAGGCGGACTGCTCACTAATTGAGGTAGCAATAAAAAAGTGCGACAGCATAAATGTGTATTAATTTCCAAAATATCTTATGTATTACAGTATAATTCCCGCCCTGTTGAAGACCAGTTAAATATTCAAAACGCTTAACATACCCAGATACCCCAGATATTGCGGATTAATATTATAAACCTTATCGCAGATTTAGTTCTGGCTGCATAAAGGTTAGAATTTAAAATTCGCAAGTATATGTACAACATTATTTACTTTTAATTCTGGGAAAAACTATATGCAATGTTTGCATTATTTTTCTACATGGCCCGCACATATTTGTTATAAATATTAGGTAAGCAATATCAAGTCGAAGCTGCCTACGAAATGGTTGGTGATATATGACGATAATGATAATGCTTGTAAATCCATTTACAAGTTCCAGCACGAAAATTCTTTATCTGCCGCTAACAAATTAATTTCATTATATGGTCTTTGGTGAAGCCGCCCATACTAGATTACATCTTCATAATAAAATTTACCGAAGACCTTATGTCAAATAGAACACGTCAAACAGAAATCGGCGATCGATGCCAAACGGAATTATGAACCGACCTAACGTCCTACTTCGGATCGTATGCTGCATTGTTTCTTCCCAGTTATTGGTTTTGGACGTAAGCAATAAAAAAAACTATTAATCACTCAAGAAATTAATGAAGTCGCCTTGCACCATCAGTATGTTTACAAAAGTGTTAATTGAAATTTTGAAATTGGAAATCCTTAAATTAAGAAAAATACAGCACCAGAGACGGAATAGTTTGACCATCTAGACAAGGAATGTCAGAACCAGAAGCTAAAGAATTTCTTATTTCAGGCAGCCTATCCAACGTTTGGGTTCAAACACGTCTACCCGAAAACAGTTTATGATAACATGATCAAATTGGAAAAGAGAAAGAGAGCTTCAAAAAATCTTCAAAAAATATTAGACGACCGAGAGGGAGAGTACTTTAAGTCGAAATCAATGCAATACGCAATCAGCGATCCCGTAAATTCAAGACGAACCAATGCAATAATATTCGCAAATATTGTGGAAATCGAAGCCTTATTCAATAGAAATGTTATGGTATGCAAGTTCACATACATATATAAGTATTTTATCTGTATTGTCTAACTGGTAAATTTCCTAAGCCAATACCAATGGCACAGGGAGGGTTCAATTCCGCGCATCTATGTACCAAACCTTTTCAAATGGTATCGGTTGAACGAGTCGTTGAGACCAAGGCCATGAGATCCGTTATTGATTTAGGGCAGAAGTCGTTTCCTGCTGATTGCAATGAAACGGTGGGATTACACATTTTGAGACCGACATTAGCAAAGACGTGAGAAGTCATTTGATTAATTACGTTAAGAATCACCCGAAATCGAGACTTCGTCTGCTCTCCAAACTTCTCCCTCCCACGCCTCCATCACAGCGAGTTCGTCAACCTGGAGAGTTCGTGATCCTTTCCGCTGATGATGGACAAACAATTACAAAAGCCTTACCAGGATAATTGTCGATGCAGGAGGCGAACGGGTCAATCCATGACAAAGCCAGCTGGAAGGGGACAACGGAAGAAGGGGCTGCGAGAAACTTGCAATCGTGGAAGTTCATACACTACATCCCGGAAAACTAGACTAGCCAGACATGCAGATAAAAACGGATAGGATTATTTTCCAATAACGTGTTCTCGTAGGCTGTGCAGAGCGAGACTTGGTATTTGGAATGGTCGACCGGCGCCAATATATATTCTATATGTAAACACGTATGTTATTATATTATATTTATTTATTATATTATATTATTATATATATATACATATTCAATATAGATATAAAATATATATATCCAACTAACACAAAACCAACTGCATATTTGTTCCCACATACCTCGTGCTATCCTTCAATGCTATCGTGTGCTTATTCATTGAGGGCATGCGTTCCGGACAGAATGACAGACTGGGCTATTCTTATAATAAATATTTATTACAATAGAAGGTTTTAAAAAATAGCAAGTGCGGGTTATTTAAATAATACCTTGGAAGTTTAACTTATTTGGAGTAAGGCTGGTGACAACAGCTGATGTTATGTCGTTTATTATCGCTAGCTAACTGTCTACCCGGAATTTACAATTCCCCCAAAGCCTAAGCATCTTCTAGCCCAAGCAGTACATTAAATGTGCCCCTCGAAACTCCCTGAATATATTTCAACACCGTCGCCCTAGTAATCTTAAACATTCCCGGGTGTCCAATATACAGAGGGCGACATGACTTTCTAAACTTGTCCATATATTTCATTTCCGCTTTACTTGTACCCGGTATATTGTTCCAAGACTGCAGCACTTTTATAGAATTATCTCGAAACCACGCCCCGAAAGTTGTGAAGCCTAACCACCCCCCCTGAACGATAAATGAGGTAAACATCATACAAAAAATTGCCGCATCTTGCATCACGTACCATTTCGTGATAACCAAATAGTTTACCAACAGTGCAAATTGTGCTACCAAGAATTGTATCGGTATTAAGAGATAGCCACAATTTTCTAGGAAAACAGCATGCCAAATTTCCACACATCGATATACCAAACTCAGATTTTTGGGATTCCGTAGTTTCTCAAAGTTCCGAGACAACACTGGTACATCAGCTCTCAAATGGTTCGTGATGATTGGAAATAGGCAAATTATATAGATCAGAGTAATTATCGCTGTCAAGACAATGGTTGCCGAAGCTTTCATTATAAGGAAGCAGTACCAATATCCAACCACAAGATATGAAATCCAACCTTGAAGGAATGATGGCAAACCTTCATATGGTAATGGCGGCGTTAACGGGGCCCACAGATACATCCACATCGCAAAAGTCCACGCCAAGCTGAGTGAAATGGCTAAAGCTTGAAAGCTCTGTATCATGTATGTATTCAATTTCAAAAGGTATGGATCCTTCAAATCGTACCACCGCTCTGAAAATTCATAGATTATTTTCATTTCGATTTCTATTTTCGATTTCGATGATTTCGATGTTGATCTTCGATTTTCGATTTCGAAGATTTCATAGAAATCATTTCTGTCCCCATACCTTGATATTGGAGTATGAACCGACAACTACAATTCACAACGGCTGCCAAACCTTTTTCATAGATTGTCGCGGGCATCGAAATCAAACAATTGAGGCAGAACGCATAACCAAAGACTAGACAAATGTTGAAATAATTCAAATTTCCACGTAACAGGATGGCTTTAGTGACGCAATATATTGTGTAAGCGATTTTGACAAATAATTCAAATCTAGCCTTGCGTGTATCTTTTTTTGTGGAGAAAAGTTGTCTAGTTTTTCCATCCCAGTCGAAAGGGCTAGCACCTAATTTGCGACAAAATAGGATAAGGCGATCAAAATATTCGAAAACTTTTTTGTCAAACATTCTCCAAATTTTAGTTGTGAAAAGGCACTAAAACAAAAGTTTTTTAGAACTAAAATTCGGAATGAAGCTTTCCAACAGTCTGAGATATATTGGGATCATCATTTTTCCAATGCTCTATTTTCATTAAGCAATTAATTAGGCTTGTGATTAAAATGAAATCTAAGTTTACTACGTTTAACCCAATTTCTTTCGAATATTAATTTGTTGTCAAATGTAATTACGTCTCCTCCTCCTGCCGAGGTCGGCAAATTCCAATTTCTATTTCTGCTTTGGTTAGCAGTTCAAATTAAGTTTATGCTCGATTGGATAAATATATGTACGTAAGGAGTCAGTCTCTCCTTATACATACGGTCCGGTACAGAATTTTATGCCACTTTGTTTGTTTCGTCTAATTTTGTCCTCAGCCTTTTCAATATGTATACCCCTTAGGATTGTATTAAGTTTTTCCCTCACCCTTCTTTAAGTATCCTCAGTAACTCATGGAGAATGTTATGAAATAATATGGAATGAAAAATTATTTACATGGTATAGTGAATGATTTCAGTACACAAAAGTTCTGCACTTATAGGTCAAAATAAGGGCTTTCAAAAAATATATTACAGGGCTGCATTCCAAGTCGTTCCGAAGTTACTGACCTTCAAACTCCTGTCCGGCTACGTAAATCATCCTCTGTATTCCGTACTCACTTAAATAAATGGAGATATTTTTATAGCGATTAACAATGGAATTGACAACTTATCATTTGGCTTTAAGTTTTCATATGAAAAATTGGGTTCGGAAAAACCCATGGTTTTAAGTAATCAAAAATTAGCAACCCAGTTCGTAACATTATTGCGTTCTGAGATGTAAATACATAAGAGTTAAAATTATTGACAATGTTTCGAAAAGATTAGGGAAAGTCCGTTATTTTTTAATTCTTTCTATTGCTTGTTTACAGCTAACTCGAGTCGCCCCTACTCCAAGTCTTACGGTCACATTCCTAATGACATAAAAATCGCCACTAACGCTCACACTTTGCTGAGTGTGAGTGTGAGTGTCGATTCTCAACTCAACTCAGTTGGTATTCCTAATGAAAATTAACCTCCACTCAGATCTTGTGAGCTGAGTCTTCAATTTGTGAGCTGAGTCGAGATTTTTGAGTGGGACTTTCAACTTTACTTGAAAAAATAAAATTTGCCCACCAGAGCAAGTAAATAAACAATTTACTAATAGAATTCGTGTTAACTATTTAACATCTCCAAAGCTTGGTGGACTTCTCTTTAATTGTTAATGCAACCGTAAATTATCAAAACTATTGTTTCATTGCGTCGAACGAAAGAAGAGGGGATCATGTCTAATTCGGAAGACGAATCTGAAAAAAAAGACTGCAAAATTGCCCCCGTTTACTGCTCAGGAGAAAGAAATCTTGTTGGAAATAGTGAATAAGCCGTCTGTAAAAGCCGTGGTGGAGAACAAGAAAACCAACGCGGTGTGGACAGCTCAGAAGAAGGACGCTTGGGACAGTGTGAGTACAGAATTCTGTTCGCACATTTCTGTAGTGAAACATACAGGGGCTCAGTTAAAAAAAGGCTGGGAAAATCTGAAAAGTCGCTGCAAAAAGCAGGTTAGTTGTATTATCACTATTTTCCATTACATGATTACAATTATAATTTGAAATTATGATTACATAACATTGATACATTGTTTTAATAGATTTCAAAAAAGAAGAGGGGACGAGGTAAAACCGGCGGAGGGTCGAAAGAGACTTCTCTTTCCCCAACCTCCAATAAGGTCGCATCGATTGTTCCTGCACAGATGACCTCGCTTGAAAATAAATATGACGATGACGCTGATTCTGCAGGATCGGGTGTGGAGCTTGGATTCGATGAATGGTTACGGAGTACGTTATTTTGTCACAAATTGTTTTGTTTGTATAAGCTATACAATGTATATATCTATTTAGGACGAAATCAAAAAGATGCAGCCAAGCAAAGCACGGTCGAAGTTGAGGCAATTGCTATCGTCCCGCCATCTGATTGCGACGACATCGGAAATACAAATGACACAAGTAGTGAGACAACTTTTTATCATGATTACGGCAATTTTGCAATTTTGATAACCATTTGTAATTTTTAGTTCGAAAGGTGATGTGTAGTAAAACCAAGCAATCGAGACCACCAAACCGAAAGCGCAAGCTTCTTGCAGGGCATGAAATTATTATTTCACTGGAGGAAGAGTTACAAGCCAAGAAACTGAAACTGCTCGACATGCAAATTGAAAGAGAAGAGAAGAATATAGCGATGGATGTAGAATTTCACAATGCGAGAATGAAGTTAATTAGTTTACAAATTAAAAAATCTAAACTATGCAATGATGATATGTAAACAATTATCCCATTTAAACTTAAATGATTGCAATTCAAATATGTATACAATTTATGCAGTCAATTTATTTTACTTGTTTGGAAATTTATGTAAGCAATTCGAATTTAATTAAATACAAGTAACTGTAAATAAAACATTCTCTAAAATTAAATTATGAGAAATGAGAAGAAATAATTCTATTCCTAGCAGAAATTCCGGAACTTGTACCTTGGTTCGGTATATCACTGTTCGCATCGTCCTCGTGATCATCATTATCGAATTCCAAATCGTCACGATACATAATAGCAATATTATGTAGAACAAAACATGCAACAATGGTGGACAAGGTTGTTGATAGCTTGAGGCGCATATACCGAAGACAATTAAAACGTTGTTTCACGGTGCCAAAGCAGCGCTCGATGGGGTTCCTAGTCTTGATTTGACAACTTTGATATCGCTGTTCGGCTGCAGTTCTCGGCATTGTCAGTGGGGTCATCAGATAAGGAGTACAGCTGTATCCCGAGTCAGTAACAAGGATCCCTGGAACTTCTCCTCGACCGAGTTGTCCGAAAAGTGTTGAATTTTCGAAAATTCTGTTGTCGTGACAAGACCCATACCAGCGGGCTACAACGTTAGTGATCTTCAGGTCTGATGTGCAGACTGCTTGAACGTTGATCGAGAAATTCCCATGCCGATCTCTGAAAACCTCTGCGTTATCTCCTCCAACAGACCTAATTGGAACATGAGTGCAGTCAATAGCGCCCACCACCCTTGGAAATCCGCCATACGTGTAGAAGCGTTGCCGAACTAAATGGGCCTCGTTGTTATCTGGATACTTCATAAAATGAGGGCCCAAGGCTGCCAGGGCACCGGAGACACGTTTGACCAACTTCGATACAGTCCCTTGCGATAATCGTGCCAAGTCACCGACTTCAATTTGGAAGCTGCCCCCAGCATAAAAACGTAAGGCAACGAGTAGTTGCAGTATTGGAGGGATCTGAACTCCACGCCTTAAGGGATTGACAAGCTGGTTTTTGATAAGGTCAGCCACAAATATAGTAGCGTCCTTGCTGAGACGACACCGGGATTGGAATTGGTGCTCGGAGAGGGATTCCATAGGATTTGACTTGTCCTTCAATTGACGACTCGGGACAATGTGAATCCGCTCCAATCGATCTTCATAATCTTGCAAACGGGAGCCATGTTTCACTGTTAATATGCATAATTGGATTAATTTTAATGAGTTGAACAAATAGTGTGAAAGGTATTTGGTATGTTTGTTATATTTGTATAACTTACGTATTTAATGAAGAAAGTAATTTTCCAGAAGGTGTTCCAAATATTTTCCGGAAATATGATTTTGTTGTATGAAATCAAGTTATTTTTTGCAAGTGAATGTCGAGAGTGCAGCCAAAGATAGCTCGTTGCGTAACTAGCGAAATTGAGTGATACTTTCGCTGAAAATTCGCTGAGT